CAGATATAGTTAAAATATGACATACTTTTAGGATCTTTTGCAGGGATTTCAGAGTAAGACAGACTTATGTCTTCTGATAGGCAAAGATCTCCAAGATATAATGTGGAGGTAAAGAAACATATTGTAAGAATTTATGAATAGCATAAATAAGTATTGTATCATTTATTTTTTTAAAAGTCCCACAAATACACTGTTTACTAGAAGTGCATATATATATTTATAACTTCACAAAGAGAGATCTGGAAGAATGTTCACCAAACTGAAGATACTCAATCCTTATAGAAAGGGAGCCAAGACTGAGGTTGTGGCCAAGGGGATTTTAGTTTTTTACTATATTTTAAGTTCTTTTTTGTTTTCATAATAATCCTGAGTGTATTAGGGAAGAATGTATAAATGAATCGTGTTTGAACTTTATATCATGTTATGAAAAGGCAAAACATTTTGTTTTCATGAACAGAGAAATTATTTCCCTTGTCTTAAATACAGATTTGGAACTATCCCTACTTTACTTCTCCCAACATATTTTTTTTGAAAAAAAGTGGTTTCTATATTCATCTTTCTTGGAAATCTAACACTGTTTTCAACATAATAATGATATTAATGCTGTGGCATCATTGGATTTTTTTCTCCTGTTGGAGAATTTCATTTTAAAGCTCTTTGTTCAGATATTTTAAATTGAGCCATAAATATTTCTCTGAAACTGGTCATGAGAGGTTTGAATCCTAGTCCTTTGGGGGACAAAAAGAGTTGAAAATTCTCTACAATTACATGGGAACACTGAAATGAGAGTATATTTAATGAAAATAATTTAATGGTACATATTCATGAGTGCAGTGTGGTAATTCAACACAAGTATTGTTGGTGGGAATGTAAACTAGTACAACCACTATTCAAATTAGTATGGAGATTCCTCAAAAAACTAAAAGTAGCAATTCTATTTGTCCCGGCTATTCCCCTTCTAAGTATCTTCCTGAGTTAAGAATATCATAGTATAATAACACATGCATACCTATGTTTATAGTAGCAATTCATAATAGTTAAATCTTAGAAGCAACTTATATGTCAATGAACAGATTAATGGATAAAGAATATATAGTATTTATACACAGTAGAATCCTACTCTGCTATAAAGAAGGATACGTTTGAATCATTTGTGGGAAAATGGAAGCACCTTGAGCCCATAGGGTTAAGAGAAATAAGTCAGGCATACAAGTTTAAATATCAAATGATTTCTCTTATATAAGCAAACCAAATATAAATAAATTAAAGAGCAAAATAAAAGAAAGATAATAGGAAACAAGTAGATAAAACTTTTGCAAATGGGAAGACCAATGTGCTAATATAAAAGATGGAGAGAGCAAATGGGAAAGGGACATAAAAAATTAAAATGTGTTATGTACATGTACTGACCGCCCCCATGATGAATGCAGTCATTATGTACTGCAAATAGGTACTAATAAATATTAAAATTTAAAAAGTCAACAGGTATACAATGGGTAGTGATGAAATCAAGGGTAATTAGCATATCCATCTTTTAAACCATTGTCTTTTCTTTATTTTAAATTCTTGGCAAAGTACTCATAGATGACACTTGTGAATTAAAAAGAGCTGATGCTGGGTTGGGGATGTGGTTCAGTGGTAGAGCACTTGCATAGCATGTGCTAGGCTTTGGGTCCAACATCCCACCAGAAAAGCACACATAGAGAGTTACAAGTGAAAGAAACTGAACCTAGGCCAGTCCCCATGCTCAATCTGGGTGAGCTAGTTCCCTCTGCAGAGCGCAGCTTTCCCATTTGTATGAACATGTGACACTAACAACTCCAATGTCTCCAATGTTTCTCTCTAACTCGCAGTGTTCAGAATCTTCAAATTATAAATAGGAGGAGTCATTGAAAGATGCAGTAAATATTTATATTAAAAGAAAACTTATTACAGTAAAAGACACACAGCCAGGAACAATGTGTGTTTGAAGCAAGGGGGAGAGTTTTAAGAATTTCGGGGGGGAATTGGTGGCAATGTGTCTTTTACTGTAATACATTTATAAATTTAAACATCCACCATATTTTATGATTACTCCTCACTGATCAAATGTTTACAGCAATTTCTGTCAAATCATTGTATGTCTTCCTCTACCTTTTTCACCGGATCTGGCATTGTGCAACTTTTGGCTTTTCTTCAGTCAAAATGACCTTGCCTGGCAAGTGTGAGGTCCCAAGTTCGATCTCCGGTACCAAAAGCAAAACAAAACAAAATGACCTTGAGAGGTAAACGTTTCCAATCAGTTCAGGACATCAAGGCAGCTATGACAATGCAAAGAAAGACACTCATGGAAAAGGACTCTGAGATCTGCTTCAGAAAGTGGCAAGAATGATGGGATAAGTGTGTTCGAAGTGAGAGGGAGTGTTTTGAGGGGAGTAATGGCAGTGTGTTTTTTACTACAATAAAAAAATTTTAAACAAATTTAAAATTATTCACCATATTTGTGTATCACACACTGTATATTCAAGGGAAGGTGTTCAAAAGCTTTAGGACTTTATCCCTAAAGAGATCTGGCACTCTGTAGAAATTGCTCTTGGCTAAATGCTAAATGTTGAATAACAATCCTTAGGCAGTTTTAGTATTAATAACAGGCCAGATTGTTGCCAGCAAACTTTGCCAGGTGAGTGATCCACTCAAACCTCGGTTTCATTTCTGATTCTTCCTCCTACCTGCTGTGTGACACTGAGTGAATTATTGACCCTCTCTGAGCCACAGTCTATCCTGAGCTGTAGCCAGATATAGTTAGTATCTCTGCTTCAGCTTTGGTGTGATGGTCCATTATTCACTCAACAAACAGTATTGAGCACTTACTGTGAGCCAGCCTTGGGACATGGACAAGAAGGTGGACAGAATCCCTTCTTACAAATATGAAAATAATCTGCTTTGCCTCCTGCCTCTGTGCTGTTCTTGGTGCAGGCAACTGCACTCTGAACTGCAGGTGAACACACCCAGGACATGGAGGGGAGATGGGGGAGAAGAGGGAAGAAACTGGAAGAGGTCTCCTGGGGCTGCAGGGCAGCTGCCCTGTTGAGGGTCAGCTGCAGAAGCTGGGGTGCCAGCACACATGGGTCCACTGCTTGGCACCTCTGGATCTCAGATTCCTTCTTAACATGCAAGTAATGGTGACTGCCTCTAGGATCCTCCAAGCATCGCAAAGGCATTAATGCTTATAAAGCAGCTGGTGGTCTTGAGCTCTTTCCTGGTATGAGGCTCTGAGTGAAAAGCAGCTTGTGCATCATTGCATCATTCCTCACAGCCACCTCTGTGTCCTCCCAAGGACACGAGACCAGAGAAGTCAGGCAACCTGCCCCGAACCTCACAGCTGCAGATGCGCAAATAGAGGATCAGAATCCAGACGCCCTGACTTCAGACCATGAGCAGAAACCACCACACCTACCACCTCCCCTGCAAACAGGTCTCAGAAACTGAGTACATGATCCATGGGGCACAGATACGCTGCCTGTACCTTGTAATTTCATTGTGAACCTTCGCTATCTTATGCCCGGGGGTTTGTACTCTCCTTTGGTCCCCTCTGGTTCTGTTCTGCTCTTACCCACTGGCATGCGGAGAGGACAAGTCCTCCTTTTCACGGAGGATGTGATTCTTTCTCCATACAGACCTTTGTTTTTAATTAAGAGCAATGATCACATAATCTCACTTTAATTAACTCCCCAGATGAACCCCATTCCTTCAGCCTTCCTTTGATATTTTCCACATCAAATGTTTCAGCCTAAGATTAACTGCAGACATGTGCCAGACATCTGCCATTTGCCACATCTGCCCGATAGGTTAGCATGAACTCCTGCCCCTTCTTTTCATGGAGACAGCCCCCTGCTTCAGATGGGGTTGTCTGGGTTGGCTCCAGTCACCTGTGATTTCTCTTTCTATCTTATCACTTTGGTCCTTCTGTTATCACAGAAGCAGTGTGCATTTCATCTCAATTATGCATCTGCTTAATCTATAATTTCTGATTTATAGCCACTAAGTCCTAATTACAAGAAGGTTGCCCTTGAAAGGGAAAAACCAAGTGAGCTCAGAAAAATGGAGCTTGAAAGCAAGAAGGAAAGGGAATTTAATTCATGTAACTAAAACTGAAGCCTAAGAGCCATTTGTTGAGGAAACCTATTGTGGGCAGTCCTATAGACCTGTGCATGTCCCATCTTGGCTGTGATGGAACTAATCTCCATCTATGGGAGGGAAATTATAATGTCCTGATGTTCAGATAAAGCTAAAACTCTCAGAGTGAGAATTCATCCAGCTCAATCTAAATTTTTTCCCTCCCTCCTTTCCTTTCTTTTTCCCTCCCTTCCTCCCTCCCTCCCTCCCTTCTTCCATCCCTCCTTTTCTTTCTTCCTCCCTTCCTTCCTTTTCTTCTTCTCTTCTTTTCTTAGTGTCTCACTAGGTTGCCCAGCTTGGCCTTGAATTCCTGGGCTCAAGTGATTCTCCTGACTCAGCCTACTGAATAGTTGGTACTACAGGTACAGGCCATCATACTTGGCTTCGGCCCAATTTTTATGACTCCCCATTTAAAAAATCACAATCGAAAACAGAACAAAACCAAACCCTTCAGTGACCACGTCTATATAGAGAAATTTAAACTCATAACTATGCGTAAGTGAAAAACTAGCATGACTTGCTCTAAATAGAAGGCAACTATATCAATTGCTGCTTTTAAAAGTTCATACTGCACTATTTAGAACCTCCAGAACACCATGCTTCAGAGAGGACTGCTTTGGATCCTCATCATTTCAACTGTTTGAGTCAGTGAATACAATTATATTCTACATTTTTCAGGATATGGAAGTAAAGACAGAGAAGATGAGTGACCTGCTTAAAGTCACAACTTAAACTGGCAGGGCCATGACACCATTGCGGGTGGAAGACCTGAACAACATCCTGCAAAGTCTAAGAGCGTAGAGCTACCATCCATCCAGAGGCAGCAGAGTGGTGCTTTCTCTTACCTGGAGCTGCGGATGCAGCTGCTGGTAGCTGACTGTCGAGAGGGTGTCCGCATGGTGTCTGTAGCCATCGACAGGGTACAGCTCAACCAAGACTGCAGATTGCCATCAGGCTGGGAGCTGATGATGGAGACATTATCCCTGGAATCAGAATGCAGGACACCACCATCACGATGTCAGCCACAGTAATGGCAATTACTAGACGCTCACTCCATAGTGTAAGCCAGGCATTGTGCTATGTGCCATGTGTGCATAACCTCCCTCAGCACCCCTCGGAGGAGGGAGTCTGTCCTGCCCCCATTACCCATTAGGAAGTTCCAGGATTTGTAAAGGCCAGCCTAGGTCTTGGCCCTGGTCACCCAGATGGTCAACAATGAAGCCAGGGTACAGATCCTGCTCCTTTAATTCCCCTGCCTACACTAGTGGCCACTGCACTCTTCCTCAGGACATACACACTCCCATAAGATGTTGAAGCCTTTGCTTTGGGAATCAAACTTGGCATTGAATTTTATATCAAATTATATGTTCGTGGATTCTGTCAATGTGGGGGCCTTAACTCCTTCCTTGCCTTAACTGGAATGTGTCTGTGAACTGAGAATTTGTTTACAGGCTCTGATTCAGAAGGCAGCACAAGGAAGTGTCCACATGGGTATTCAATAATTATTTTCTGGTTGATAAACTCATTGGGTATTGCATTGTGTGCAGTGGTGGTGGCATGTGTGTGTGTGTGTGTGTGTGTGTGTGTGTGTGTGTGTGTGATTTATCCTGAGTTTCCTGTCTTTCTTTGTAAAATGGAGCTAATAACAAGGCCCTGCCTCCAGAGTTGGGAAGCAGAGTAAGTGAGATTACCCTTGTAAATTTCTCAGCATGGTTCCTGGCAAACAGATAGTG